ATGGGAATTATTAAATTCTTGTAAGATGCAGTTGAAGTCCGAGTTATCGTAGCAGACTATAAAGGTATCGTCAACGTACCTTTTGTATAGTAGTAATTTGTTTATTGTTGATTTTAAAACTCCACTCTCCATACTGGCCATAAAGTAGTCTGCTAAAAGCGGGCCAAGAGGAGATCCCATTGCAATTCCATCTTTTTGTATGTAGAGGTAGATCTCAGACATACAGCATGGACAACATTTTATATATTACGCAACGTTTTACAGAATCAATGATTGTTTGTTTCTGAAGTGAAAATATATGACAGTACAAGAAGAAAACTCTGCACTACTTGTTATAAGCAGGTGAGTAATACTACTGTCGACAACAGAGTTATAACCAGAACACCACAGATTATTTCAGTTTGATTATCAGACAACATGACCTACAATAGCATTGTGAAAACGACAATGTTAATCATGGCTTCCGATCAGAGACCACCATATGCTTGTCTAACTAGCTGATCGGTAGAGACAGATAGGTGATTCATGAAATGTTACTGCAACTTAATTCCTTCAGCCACGTGTGTTTGATTGATATTACTCCGAAACACAGTGCAACACAACTACTGTCAATACTTATCAGCTGTCTCATGTATGGCGATTATGTTGACATCATGCAAGAGACATACTGTTCCAGAAGGCTTACAATTCTTGTATCTCAAAATTAGCTTATAAGTAGAATAGGGATAGAATCTCTTCAGAGATTTAATACCGTAAACGTGAGTAATTGTCAAAGATCACATGAAAGTGTAATGTGACGATGTTGAAGACAGATAATATTCGGGGCAAAAGAATATCCAGTTTCCTCACACCTTCTGGTGTTATCTCTGTTGAAGCTGCCTCCTATTTTGTTTTTTATTTAGTGATATACTAATTCGCGAAACCACACTCAATAAATTATTGAATAAACAAAGTCTTACCTCAAGGTTACGTTTCTCACTTCTAGCATGATGGAGGTGGGTGTTCTTTTCACTCTTCCCAAAATGTTCTCTTGACTTGTCTGTCCGATTATCTTCCGTGATGTCAACCTCACGCTTTGAGTCACTCAAGTATGTCGCAGATTGTCCACTTTTTCAGCAGAATGTGATCAAACAATACTGATGTTATCAAAATGGAACTACTACTCGTCAATTGTTTTTGTTAAATTCACTCCTCTTGTTCTAACTCAAATGCGAATATGTTAAAATTCGAATTCAACCAACAATTTACTATAAAATGAACGCATTTACGAGAATGACTGAGTAAACTGTAGGAGTGAGATGATGCCAATATTATTATCTAGGTCAAATACTCTATCTTTGTTTTATTGACTGTGTGATTAGAAGAGAACTTTGACCTGTATTCACTGAACACAGGATTCACATTCATGTCATTGAAGTGCACACGGTAAATATTTGGCCCAGAAAATAATCATGAGATTCAACAAGAAGCAATGAAGCACTTCATTCTAAAATGCATAGACCTCATGTCCTCCTGTCCATCTGTGTAAACTCTAGAAAGTATATACATAAAATGTCTATCGCAGCACAGCTCAGTCGATTGAGCGTAACTGTGAACTAGCCTCCAGTTAAGATGAAATGGGTGATCGATCACAACAATATTATGCTATCTTTGTTGTCTCGACCATTAAGCCACTGGTCTACGAGCTCGCCTTGTAACCATAATGTCTTGTGTCTGAACCCTGGTGGTGGGTGCGTACTGATGAGGAAACAGCTGTCGAGTACTGCGAGGTCCTCCAGTGTTTCTCCAACTAATATCAGCTCATGATGAAGTTCTATAAACAATCAATCAAATCCCTACAAACCAATACTTGAAACTGTTTTTAATTGGCTATCAAATTTAGACAGAAATAACAACAATAATTCTGTAGTATGGAATCTATACTAATGCGAGAAACATGAATACCAGGTACACGATTTCATCACAAGCGTTTCAGTTCAGCCATTTCAGAAAATGCGAAACCACAGATCTGTATAAATTATTTGAATAGTGTTATAAAATGATGATGTTTCTCCTCTACTTAGGTGTAACTCGAAAAATACAAATCGATTGCAACTTAATTCCCCACTAAGGGGTTGTGACTATTAGTGAATTTAGGCGATGTACAAAAGATGTCGAAATCTAGCCCTCATAGCTTCTATACGGTTCAGCCTGTTAAGTGTATCTTTTAATAGTATTAATAGTCCGGCGGTTGACTAAGATAGATGTAACTCATACTGCTAATTTTGAGATATTATTTGATTGATAATCTGGCATGAATTCGTCATTTTCATCACCAGCAATGGGGGACATTTTATATTCAAAATCATGTTTATTTTATGCAACTGGAATCGATCATTTTTCAGGAACCAGCATGAATCTGTAGGATCAGAAATTTTATGCTACACAAAGTCGAAATGCTTCATGTTTTCGACCGGAATCATAGAGCTAGTACACAATTTCGACTTCTTTGCAGTGTTACTTCTAAAGTATACATCGCTTAGTAATGTGTTACCTGACACAAGATCATTTTGCGTTCTGTGCACTACAGATTTACTGGCTACCAAAGTGCACTAAAATGATACCCAAAGATAGACGTTTCACAGGTGATATCGTTAATTCCGGTTTTGTTTTTAATGCGCTGTTTCTTCTGAATACAGAAGATGATGTGAGCACATGGGAGTTAGTCAAGTGAGAGGTAATTTTCTCCATTAACGAAACTGAAGTGTAAGCCTTCTTGTAAACACTGCATATGTTTCATTGAGTCCTGTAGACTTGGGCGTATTCGCAATTCTCTCTCTGCTCAAAGTAACTTATGTTTGAATCTTGACTATATATTCTTTTACCTTGTGAATTCATTGTCACATGGAGTGTGTGAAATGATTCGTCGAAAGTCGAATATTCAGTCTTAGGAAAAAATGCAGGATATAATTTAGACAGAAAGCAAGATGGTTGTTTCGAGACAATTTTCAGCACAAATCAAGCCATTTTTCCGGTAACGCTTATGACTGTGGAAATGTAGAGCAAGTAAATAGAAGATTCAAATGGTTGTTCCATGCAAATGAAACGCGACAACTTATTCTGTGTTTGCTCAAACTGTAAGTTTATAATCCTTTACAAATCCACGTACACATATTATACGTTTACGGAGAATAATTTTACAAGTGTTTGTGGAATATCTGACGTTGTATTTCTGAACATTGCTCTTCGTTTGTTACACATTTATCTTACGCGGTTAGATACTTTCGCGTTCGCCTCGCACTTTTGGAAATTTGATTTCGTTAACAACACATCTTTCCACTTGTGCTTCTCAATACAGTGTTGTTCTTCTTTGGCAGTGAACAGCGTCACCACATAACAGAACGTGAAAACATTATTATAACTATAGAGTTATAATCGAAACCCCATTAAGTACTGCATGAATTTATTAACTGGACGTATGGAAACTCATTCCGGATAATAAGCTTCCTAACTATGTTGAATCTATACACTTTGCATATTTTGAACTCATTTTGTGAGTGAGTCATTGGAACTCCTTAGGCACTTGATCGATTGTCGAGGAATTGTGCCAGTCCCTGACAATGTGAATGGTATAAGGAATAATCCGCTACCTTACTGTTCAAAGAAGATACAAGAATTTCAAGGTTATTCATCAGTTTTTAACGTTATTCTATCCCAAATGCGCAATAGTTTCGCAACGGTTTACTGACTGCTTACGTAAATACAGCGCTTACATCATGTGAACCGTGGAGACAGTAAAAGCTGTACCTTCCAGCATGTGGAAAGCATGAGTTTGGTGGCCAGATAAACAGCTGGTAATTCTCCACCGAAGGTGCTATAGCGACACTAAGTAGGAATCAGTCGTTTTGAAAAGAATGCGAAGGGCTGGCATTCACCGAGTACTTGTTGTGGCAGAACCGCCCTAATGGCAACGTTTGAGTTGTTCGGCATGAGGGAAAAAATGCGCATTATCTTTGCTTCTGACTGTGAGTGTCTTCTCGTTTAACAGCTGGTTATTAGCAAAACAACACAACAACTCACCCAGTGAACTAAGAAATCCTGAGTTCATATTGCATCTCAACTCAGATATAAGACACGTAAAAGGTAACAATAATGAAGTTGCAGACGCTTTGTTACGTTCGCACATAAACAATATTGCATTTTACAGTGTCGATTGTGAACATCTCACCATCCTACGATGAATTGATGGTTCGATAGCGAAGATTGAATTTCGAGGAGAGATTTACAACAAAAAACTTCGTCATTGGACGAACCAAGAACTAATCAATATGCGCCAGGAAACCTGGATGTACTGGATATGGCCTGATAAGACTGTTTGACTGATACGAAGAAGAAACTTAAATGAAATGCGAACGGGAAATGACGAATTCAGTGTTTTTCTAAGGTTAAAATATAGAACATCGCCTCAGGAGCAAATGAAGGCGTATGGGGATTCATTAAGTCAGCCGGAAACTACTCCAGAGGACTCGGTGAGGTGGACATGGGCTGTTGAAGCGCCGAATTCCACTGGAAACCCTATGCAATAATGAAATGTATCAAATAATAATAATAATAATAATCACTAGCTGGCTTCTGCATTCGAAATAAGTATAATATATACATTTATTAATAATGAAACTGGAAGGTGAAATTGATACAATATTTAAAACTAAACAGAATAGAACAAGTGATTCGACAAAGATGATTACAATTTACTGTCGAAATGAGAATGGTGTGATGCAAAAGTGGATGAGAGCGACTCACATTTATACAAATCGTGATGATGTCATATAAAAATAACATATGGTAAACGAAATTATGAACGAGTACTGATATCTCTGATAAATGTGAATGAACACGTTTTATTCCTCCACCTTTTCATTTGTAGACAGAAATATCTGGATGTTTTCATAAGCGAAACGTATCGAGTGTTAGCGAAATCATAGAAATACCAATGTTTTCACTTGGAATGAGATTCTTGTTTATTTCTCCGCTGATGGGTGTTCAGATTCAGCTGGAGGTGAGGGTTTCGATCCGTCATTGCCGGACATTGGTAGTCCGAGTGGAGGGGACTGTCCACCTGAAGGTGGTTGGTACATCGGTGCAGATCCCTGTGGGGATCCTGGAGGAGGGGGTGGTGGTAACTGAGGAGTTCGCCCATCAGATGGCGGTGGTGAGAATTGTGGAGGTTGTGCGAATGGTGGAGGTGGTTCATATTGTGGAGGTTGCCCATTCGATGGCGGTGGAACGATTTGTGGAGGTTGACCACCTGATGGCGGTGGCCCAGAGTGTGGAGGTTGCCCATTCGATGGCGGTGGAACGAATTGTGGTGGTTGTCCGAATGGTGGAGGTGGTCCATATTGCGGAGGTTGCCCATTCGATGGCGGTGGAACGATTTGTGGAGGTTGACCACCTGATGGCGGTGGCCCAGAGTGTGGAGGTTGCCCATTCGATGGCGGTGGAACGAATTGTGGTGGTTGTCCGAATGGTGGAGTTGGTTCATATTGTGGAGGTTGCCCATTCGATGGCGGTGGAACGATTTGTGGAGGTTGACCACCTGATGGCGGTGGCCCAGAGTGTGGAGGTTGCCCATTCGATGGCGGTGGAACGAATTGTGGTGGTTGTCCGAATGGTGGAGTTGGTTCATATTGTGGAGGTTGCCCATTCGATGGCGGTGGAACGATTTGTGGAGGTTGACCACCTGATGGCGGTGGCCCAGAGTGTGGAGGTTGCCCATTCGATGGCGGTGGAACGAATTGTGGAGGTTGTGCGAATGGTGGAGTTGGTTCATATGGTGGAGGTTGCCCATTCGATGGCGGTGGAACGAATTGTGGGGGTTGACCACCTGATGGCGGTGGCCCAGAGTGTGGAGGTTGCCCATTCGATGGCGGTGGAACGAATTGTGGAGGTTGACCACCTGATGGCGGTGGCCCAGAGTGTGGAGGTTGCCCATTCGATGGCGGTGGAACGAATTGTGGAGGTTGACCACCTGATGGCGGTGGAAAGAATTGTGGTGGTTTTCCGAATGGTGGAGGTTGTGCGAATGGAGGAGGTTGTGCGAATGGTGGAGGTGGTGCGAGCTGTGGCGGTTGTCCGAATGATGGTGGTGATGCGAATGGTGGAGGTGGTGCGAATAGTGGAGGAGGTCCGAATGGTGGCTGTGGTCCAGCGAAGGGTGGATATTGTGGAAGTCTATTTTCGTTCAATGGAATACCTAGTGCACAGCGTAAAATAATTGAAACAGGTTCAATCACATTCAAAATATGGAATTAAGTAATTTATTTTGATAACAATCCGCACATAGTTAGACCAACTTTTATGTCAGTCAGACTATGTTATTCCCAGATAATTTCTCGAGAATAACTGCACAATTATTATTTCGAAAAGAATGCACAAAATCAGGCTACTAGCTTCTGAGCGGCTCAGTGTTTCCCTTTTTGGAAGTTCAAGAGATAATAAAGTTTCATGAAAGAGTAATATATCTGTCAGATCAAGAGTATTAATCCTAAACACAAAATCAGTATCACTTTCATGAGCAACGCTTTGACGCCAAACTAATCTGTGCTAAATAGTCCTATAAAATCCATCAGAAGATACCCGCGATTTCCAACACACTCCTAAGAGCTTTCCGAAGTGAATCTCAAGTGGGGGACTACAAGGGATATTTTCATGTGACTTCAAGCGTTTACTTGCAAAACCGATTCTAATTTTCTCGCTTGTGCATTTCAGCAGTAATATGAAATAAAGCCTGAATTTCATAAAATGTGCAAAGCAGTGATATTGATATTATTTTTAAAATCATACGTTAACAAGCTGTAAAGTAGTGGCTGAGTCATATCTCGTTGTCTCCACGTCTTAATGTAGAAGATTAGATGGGAAGTGTTCTTGGAAATCGATATGATACATGATGACGAAGGAAGAGAGGTCAGGGGATAATTCTACTTCACGGTATTTAATGCTTGACTAAGTTTCTGTTTCAGTACCCTCTTCGCTGGAAACAGCTTTTGAAGCATCTACACCTTAATGTCAAGTTAATTGACTGAAATTTAGAGGTGTTGAAGCAAAAATCATTTAGCTTAGACCATTGTCTGATATCCGAAGAGTAGCTGTTAAGTTTGGAACAATCAGATCGAGACGTATTTGTCAGCGAGACAATGAGAGAGAATATTCCTGACTAAGTGTTTGAATGTTTGGCTGATTAAACTTCTATCGGCATACTACGCTTGATTAATCGTGTTTTATGTGTATTAATACAGCAAAGTAGGACGTCAGTTCATATGTACGTGTAACAATAACTCAGTTCAAGCCGACTTACTGTTTATGTGAACATTATAAATGTCAGCACCGATTAGTAGAAACAAGAGGATACTTCGCATAATTTTCACACACTTTTCGCAGTAATCAACCAGATGAGAACAATTCTATGAAGAAAGAAGGAAAACAAGTTTGATGCGATGAACAGAATGAAAATACGATGATAATATCGCGTATACTTGTAATCCTCACTTCTTTGGTATATATAACTTTAACGCACAGAATAACCGAGGCTAACTGGAAACGATAATTATTTCTGGACTTTGAAAGCCGATTACTTATTGCGTGTATCGGACTCACAATGTCAAGAGAAATATACTTACGTAGACACATTAAGTAGTCAAAAGTTGGACAGGACAATGCAGACCGCATATGCTAATTATGTTGTAAAGTGTTAGAGATAGATACGTGCGTAATTTACAATTTGCCATTATAATTTGTGCATTTTACACTTAAATATTTAAGGACTGTTTCTCCAGCCATGAAATATGAAAGATGTTGGGAAGCAATGTTTATCGTCAAAGGTTCATGAATAATATTACAGCACCCGTGAGCAGAATATTGAGAACATGGCTAGCCAGAGCCTATCATGCAGCCAAGCTGGTTTCCATCTATCGAACAACTTGTTTTTTGGTACAGTCAAAAATAGACTGATATCCTTGTCACGTTAACTTCAATTGTATTTACAAATTTACATGTATCTGCGGAAGCAGTTACATTGTGAGAACAGAAAGAATGGCAAACCTACGATTTTCTAAACTTGTACTAAAGGGCCTATGTCTGAAGGGAACAGATGCTTTGAACAGTGCCCTCGCCAGGAATCTCCTTGACACGCGTCATGAGGTGGACTTCGAAAGATCATTCAAACCTATCAGTAGGCGAGGAACAGTGTTCGATTCTCCTCAAGTTTGCCGAAGCAATATCCATGAAGCGGGTTGAATCCGATTAATGAGTTGAGAAAGAAGCGAATGTCAGTGTTTCTTTTCACTTCTAACTCGACATTTTCATCCTGTCTTTCATCTGATTACACGTTGTCGAATGTTTCCATTGTGTTTGACTATTAATGTTCGGGATAAAGTGTTTATTATCATTACTAGCATTATATACATATAATGACTGAATAATTCTTGTTTAAAGATGAACTCTGCAAGGATGTCAAGATTGTTTATATCCGTTTAATTATTGATGTCTTTGAGTTGTGAGCAGGTGATAAGAAGCCAACAAAATGAATGATGGTACCATTCTACTCTGCAAACACTGTTGTTCTTGCTTCGTTCAGATTCATAGAGCGTAATAAATGTTTGAAATAAAACGCCGTTTAATTAGGATAGTAATAATAACAATAATTATCAATAGTATATGCAAAAGTTAGGCTTACCAATTTCTCTAATGACAGATGAACTGATTAGATAAATATGACTGTATTATTTATGCAGTTTTTACCTGTTACTCAGTCTCAGTTTATTGTCACGTACACATCTTGATTTAATTAGGTCATTCGATAGCTTGTGTGACTGTTTCCAATCAATCAGATCGCTGATACATGATTAATTGTTCATAATGCAAACAGACAACATGAGTCATTCATTAGAAATAAATGACTGTCAACAGTGTAATGTCTTCGAATCAAGTGTCTTTTGTGATTTTGTTTCATAGTGCAGTTACACACTGTTAAACAGATAATTAAGCATGAAGTTATCAATCAAAGGCGTGGGTGGTGTTGAAGATCATTCAGTTGAGTGCTGTTGACCTGATACACAGTGGATGCTTTTTTAATACGTATTATCCACTTGATTTTGTAAAATGCTGTAGGCTGTATGTCTACGACAGATAAAACCTTTTTCTGTGAAACGTCTAATGAAATGTTCGAATGATGAAAGTAGGAGTATATTTGTGATGCATCAATTTAGGCTTCCATGTAAATACCATTAGTCCAATGAGTTTCTTCTTTAACTGGTCTTTATTAGAATACACAAAAGGCTATAGACAAAACAGCACATACAAAATGGTATGAAAGTTATACATACAACAAGAATGTGGGCATTATAAGTGTTGTAGAATATTTTAAATGCCCAGTCGAATTATTTACTCTTATTATTATTGTTCCTTTGAATTCCGAATAGGATATGGGTCTTCAGGAACACAACTCCACTTTGTTGTATTTTCCACGGTCCCATTCAACTGGATTCTTGATAGACCAAACTCTCTCATCCCTTCCTCACACGATCCCCTCCGTGTGGTAGTGACACCGTGTGACGACCCACTCGTCGCTTCTCGATGGAATTCCACTCGGGAGATAGCCTGCATTGCACGCGATGTCATTCGATAGTAGCCTAAACGTGTACCCGATCCATCTCCATTGCCTCCTACATATTTATTGAATAATCGGGTCTTGCTCCGTTGGTCTGTTATCAGCCGGAGTTTTTTTGTTGCTAATCCTTTCTTTCTGGCTATTTGATCTTCAGTATGGAGCCAGCCAGTGAAGGTGGCAGATGTTGATGAAAGCCTGCGGTAGCCTGTTGGAAATCCTTATCGTGACACGCAGTGCAAGTTTCTCACCCGCATAGAAGACCTGACCGATTTCACATTGGTGTTGAAAAACTGAGTCGTGTTCCTTGTGATGAGTGTAGAAGATTACCAAGCTAGTTTCAGGTTGCTGAAAGCGTTTCTTGCATTTCCGACTCTGACTGGCCTTGACATGCTCATCAGTTCCGGCTGACTGTAGTTGAAATGCTGCTTCCTTGGCGGATAATTGAAGGAAGTAACATCTGTCACATTTCTCGTGTTGATGGTGATAGGTGCTGGTTGTTGTCGTTGTTGTGGTTCTTCGGTTATATTCACCAACTCCGTCTTCTCTATGTTCACGTGGAGTGCTGTATTCGCTGCTGGCCTCTTGACCCACTGTGTTGATCTTCACCTGCAAGTCTTCGAGGTTGTGTGACATTAGAAATACTTCATCGGTATGCGAAATCCAGATCGTCTAGAGTCTTCTTATCGTTGATCTAGTGTATTCCTGTCTTCTCACTATCAATGCACAGTCTAACGCATAATCCAGTCCACTACATTGAGGAATATCATCGGTGATATTAGAAAGCCAGCTTGTCTTACTCACTTCGGGCGACTCTCTGAATTCCCGTTGGGGATCGACTGACACTTGACACTGTAATAGAGGCAGCTGTTGGATGAAGTTAACAAATCTTCGGACACTGTACGCCGTAGTGTTCAAGTATTTTTCAAATTACTTCTCGGTCTATGCTGTCTGTTGGAGGCGTTTTCGAAGTTGATGAAGTTGAGGTGGAGTGAGGCTTGACTGGCACTCTACTGGACTTCATCAGCTCGATTGCATTCGGGATTACTGCTTTCGTCGGAGCATCGGTATCTTTTGGCGGACAATACTGTGCGTGCTGTTAGTGGTATTTCTAGGTGACTTGCAGATGACGGTCGACTCAAGATTCCTGTAGAATGAATAGCCCATTGTTTTATTCGTTTCTCTTTTTTGGTTAAAGGTTACCTCGACCATCCTTTACAGTTTTCATCATCTGGGTTGATATTTCCGGATAGCGAGCAGCTTGGTCGTCCGATATCATGTGCTGAATGCACTTTTGCCTGTGGCCTACTTGGTCTGCATCATTTTACAGACAGTGTGTCCTGGAATTGTCTTCTGTCTTTCCTAGTTCTCTTCTTCACTTCACTATTCAGTGCAATGCACACTGACATGAATTACTCTATCCGTTGAGAGTATCCGTTGAGAGCCACTCCTTGTTTTGTGTTTTCTTTCTTCTTAGAACTGCTTCACATGTTTCCTTGAATATATGTCTCCTCCAGAGAGTTTCAGTGTTTTTCTATACATATCTCGTCGTCGGTAACACGTAGCCTCACCAACAGTGCTCTTATCTGATCTGTAGCGAAGGAATCCCTTGTAGTTTTGTCCTTCAGTTTCATGGTGTTGAACTTGAACTACAGTCTCTCTGCAGGTTTACTGAAGGATTTCACCTTCACCATCAAGGTTCCTTGAACTGGATGATGATCTGTGCCCACATCTTCTTCCATTCTCGAAAGTTGCGTCAAAAATTACTTCAGCAACATCGAGATGAAATCTAGCTGGTTTGTAGTATATCCATCAGGCGAAATCCATGTTGCATTGTGTATATCTTTGTGTTTGTACACGCTCCCTCCGATCACCAAATCATTGAAAGCACACAAGTCGGCGAATAATTCTCCGCTCTTATTCATTTCTCCGAGTCACAGCCTCTCGACCCATGATGAGTCCGCTTCCTGTATTATCTGGTCCCAGTTAGCTGGCATTTATATCACCCATAAGGATTTCGATGTCACCATTCGGGATGTTGTGCACTACTGCATTTAGTTGTCTGTAAGAATCCTCATTCTCGTCTTGTTTCGCGATGTTTTTACCATTGGATAATTGTTACCTCTCTTTCTGTGTTTTGACTTGAATCTTGCTGTCATGATCCTGCAGGATGAAATCGGTTCCCACTGGATTAGGGCTCCAGCTGCCACTGGTGACATCGTGGTAGCCACTCACTGCCTCAGTGTGTTCGTAGTTGTCATCTGGGTGACCAGACTGGAGTAGATTACTGACTCTGGTTGACTGTTTCGATATTCCATATGCATTTCATCTGATCTCGCTGAAACCAACCACTTCTATGCGATATCTTCGCATTTCCTTGACTACCTGAGAAGCCTTACCAGCCAGTCTCGTATATTGTACGGACATTCCACCTACTCATTCTTATTCTTGCTTTCACAGAGAGAAGACACATCGGATGGCGGAGTGGCTGGCTAACTTGCTTCCCGAAGGCTGGCTTTCCCCAGCACGCTATGTCATTTTGCCTCTTCGATTTGAGAGAAGAATAAGATTTTTGTTGTTTGAATTTTTTGTATATTGAATATGTTTTTGTGCGTTGAAGTTTCTCTAGCGGTTTGATAGCTTTTGTTGTGTAGGCTTGTTAGTCCCGCATCCCACACTCTCCCTCTTCACCCGGACTTGGGGCCGGCTAGAAAAATAGCAAGATAGTTGACTAGGCGAGGTTTCAGCCGAATT